GGGGGGGGGGGGATGTTTATGTTAAAAATGGTTAATATAAAATGTAAAGAATTAAAGCAATTCAAAATAATTTAGCCTTATTACTCAATGATTAGTGCCCTTTTAGCCTTTTTTCTATTTAATTTATATAAAGTTTAGATTGATTCTTACTTTAATTAATTAGGTATTTCTGTTATAATATATATTTTAAGGGGTTAGCTAAATACATATCTATTAATCTCTTTTTTATATACATCAACATCAAGAATTACTTTTATATTTATACGTTACAGATAATACTAAAATATATCTTAAAATCTTAATATATTATTTTTCTGCTTCGTTTGTTCCCTGTTCAATTTCTGGTTAATTATAACGAGCAACCAAAAAAAAAAAGATATTTGTCTAAATAAGTTGAAATTTTAGCCTTTTTTAGATACATAATGCGTCAGAAAAAAATCTGATTAAAAACCCAAAAAACAACTATGTGAAATTTGAATTTAGAATGTAAAAAAAAAAGAGAGAGCTAGGGAGACACGTGGCTATGATACGAGAGATTTGACTGGGAAATAAATTAATAGAAGGTGAGGTGTCTTAATCATGTACAAATATTTTTGCCGTGTCAAAATATAAATATAAATATAAAAATAAATAATTTTATTATTAATATAATAAAGAGGGGTTTAACATAAATAAAATAATGTATATGAAAACCAGGGAAGGTAATATCCATTTCCAACCAATTAAAGATGTTTAAGTTTAGATTTAATCAAGTGGTCGTCTATTTTGTCTTCGAAGTTAGTAGGGAGTAGTTATGCCAGAAACGTCATGTTGAAGATCAGATTGCATTGTTGTTTAACTATTCCATGAAGAATTAAATCCACATAGTCTTTTTGGTGGTTCAACTGCTGTCTTTAAGCAACCAAAAAACGTAGGAAACGTTTCCAAGAAAAGCATAATTTACTTGTCACAAAATTAAGTTTAAATTAACAAGCATTTAATATGCATCGGTACAAGTACTTGAATACCTAATGACAATGGACTATCTACTCTCCTTATCAATAAAATGTTGATTACCATCACAAGTCCAATTTTGAAACTTTTTGGGTTTGCTTCTACGGGTTTTTATAATAACCTCCACCGTAGAATATATGTTCTTGTTCGATCGCAAGTTCTTACAAGAATTCAGGTGTTTAAATAAAACGCTGAGTTTTTGTCTACATTTCGTTTTTATTAGTTTTTATTGTTTGTTAACTATTTTATTTTGTTTTAGTAAAATTATAAAACATATAATTATACAAAAAAAATAAAAATAAATTAATTATTGTAAAATAAACTTGTTATTTTGTTTTATTTTTCATTTCTTGTATAAAAATATACAAGTTTTTGTATTTTGTTTTATGAATTTAATTTTCAATTTTCTTGTTAACAGGTTATATGATTTTCTCAGTAATTTTATAAATAAAGCTGTACTGAGTAAAAAAAATGAAAAGTAAGGTTTTTGTAAAAACCTTCAAGAGTTTTTTTTAAGTTCTTATTTTGTTGAGGTGATAATGATATGACAAAAAATATGAAAAGTGGAGTTCTTAGAGGTTCCACTATTGTGGATGCTCTTATGATTGCGAGTACTCATCGGTTGTTTACTAAATGTTTGTCTTGCCTCTTATCGGGTAAGAGATTTTAAGTCCTTATGCTCGCCTGCCAAGTTAAGTGACCCGATAAACGTTCAGTAAACGGCTATGCCGGATGCCATTAGTTTACCTTTCATAAAAAAATTGTTGATAAGTAATGAAATCTAATTTTATTCCAATTACAAATTTGGCTTATAATATAGAAAACCTACTTCGTCATTTGTAAATTAAATACAACATTTGATCAGAAGCATATATTATTAGTTACATATTTATAATTTTCTACTGACCTGGTAAACTATAAGTTATGGATCAACAACATAATATTTTTTTACATCGAATAAAAATGTTTGCATTATTCAAAAAGTTGTTTTATTTTCAGAACTATATAATTTTTTTAATCTAAGAAAGCATCCTAAGAATTCTTAAATTTTTTTTCATTTGCACTTCGCTCCCACTCCTCATCTTAGCATCTGAACACATGTTCAGCCAGGTTGCTATAATGCACATTATTTGTTCACGTCATGAGACTTCTCGTGTAGTCCCTCCCTCAATTACGCGTATTCTCCACTATGCCATGTGTATAAAGTGGTCAACCATATATGCTTATCATGAAAAGCATCACACATCTCACACACACACACAAAATACATATATATATATATACATACATATATATATATATATATATATATATAGATATATATAGAAAGAGAGACTTGGTATCATATGAGACTAAGGGTTTTTCGTGAAACCTGTAAGACCCATTCTCAACCCTTGGATTAGATCTACAAACTGAATATTCATAATCACAAAAATTGCCACAAAACTTCTCAATAATCACAAAATTGCCACCGATGCAACTTTAGACCATTAGCTTATAAAGTTGATCAATAAACATAAATTGGTCTTACGGATCTCACGAAAAACCTTTGGTCTCACGTGAACCCAACCCTATATATATAGAGGTGGGTTATTATACAACCTCTTACATTTGTATAACCTATACAACTCAATCTAACCGTCCATTTAATTTGATGAATATGTAATTTATAGAAGTTTTGATTATTTCTTAATATAAAGTATTAATCATAATTAATGAACCGTATTCATATTCCATAAATATTTAAATCATAATAAATGAACTCTTATAATTTCCATAAATATTTCAATTTATTGAGTTGCATTGGTTGTACAAATGTGATAGGTTGTATTTGAAACAAACTCTATATATATTTGAGAAGATTTGAACCGACGACCTATAAAAAGTAGCTCAATGTCTAACTTCATTTGGCGGTTAAGTTGGTCCTCATAGTTAAATGTCAAATATTTAACTATGAGGACCAATTTAATCACCAGATGAAGTTAGACATTAAGCTACTTTTAATATGTCGTCGGTTCAAATTTTCTCAAATCACTAGAGGCTTTCTAACTGTTATCTTTACGGTCCCATGAAATTAGATGAGGTCTACACAAAAAAGACTAAAACCTTGTATATTACTGAAAAGGGAAAAAAAAAAAAACCTTGACATTTAAAGTCAAGCTCGAATGGACACTCCTAGCATTTTGTAGTCAAGAAATAAACAAGTTTTAGCTTTAATAATTGTCCCATTTTCTTGTCTAATAACTTAGAACATCTCTAACAGCTATGTTATTTTAGAAATTTTAGAGATCCGGTAAAAGTTTGCTCCAACAGTTATGCTAAACTCTCCTTTAAAAAAAAAGAAAAAAAAAAAGATAATGAGAAATCTCCAAATTTAGAACAATACAAAAAGGATATATCATATTTGTTAAAGATGCAATTAGAATTCAATTCTCTCATAATTTTCTCTTGTGACATTAGTTAATGCCATATCATCTTATCCATGAAAAAATGCATTTTCAGGAACTAATAGATTAAATCTCGTAGCTTTATGTCATATGATATGTCACACACCGTCAATCTTTATTCAACAATTCAAATGCTTACAGATTGATTTCCAGCTTTTCGAAAGAGTTGGTTCTCTCCATAGAGGCTCTCACCAATTACAAAATACAAAACCGATGCCTAATCACTTCCACCCTCCTATTTATACTTCTCCTAACAATGAACTTACCTCACTTATTGACTAATTGACCAACCCACTATTATCCCTACCATCTATATGTGTTAACACAATGAACAAGCAATCTCAAACTATGAAAAAGACCTACTTGCCTAAACAACTTCAGTCCTTTTCTTTCATGACAAGCTGAATTTTTGTTATGATCCCCAGCTATGGCAGCTCGAAACACTTCTCTTGCAGAAGGACACTTACCTAAACTACAGTCAAGCCTTGAGCTACACAAGCCAGGCGTTAAGCCAGAACCTACACGGCTTGAGAAATCGGACCTCAATAAAGAGAATGAGCTCAAAATTGGTCTACTATTTGCAAGAAAACTGGAAGAGACTTTGGATTATTGGCTTGTGGATTTTGATAATGATTGGTTTGTTTCTTTGGAAATACTATCAATACAAACAAAGGGCTGCATTTGAAGTTATGGGTTACTGCGTTCTTACGGCTAAAGGCGCAGCCGAGACTCTCAAATTCAATATGGCTATCATACTATTGCCTGTGTGCAGGAACACTATAACTTGGCTGAGGTCAACCAAATTGTGTTATTTTATACCCTTTGACGACAACATCAACTTTCACAAGGTTCGACTTTACTATCCTTCTACTTCTGTTAACGCTCGATTAGTTTTATCCCTTCAATTGGGGGTCTTCACAGATACAATCACCTCTGCTATTTGAGATAGAGGTCGAGTCTGTGTACAATTGACCCCCACAGACTGTAAGATCCCACATTGGTTAGGAGGGAAAATAAAGTTGCCTAGTAAGGTATTGATACCACCTCTACTAGACGCACTTTAAAACTGTGAATCCAAATGTGAACAAAGCGGACAATATCTTGTACGCTTAGCCTGGTATATTACAAATGGTGTAAGTATCGATTCTTGTACTATCAGGATGGTGGGGTAAACCCCATCGGGTATGATGAGTCCTGCAGGGGGTGTTTGTAACATCTTAGGCAAATCTCACATCGCCGATTACAAGAAGGAAAATTCTTGTGGGCTACCAATAACTTCCACCATTGTTTTAAGTTAAATTCAAAGTTATTGGGCCAACCTATTGCTTTGGGGTGTTACAAATGGTATCAGAGCCATTAACCCGACTGGTGCGTAAGAGAGGACGCTGGGCTCCCAGGGGGTAGAATATAAGATCCCACGTCGGTCGGGGAGGGGAACTAAGGTTGCCTTATATGGAACTGGATATCTCCTCTACTAGACGTGTTTTAAAACCATGAGTCCAGGTGTGGACAAAGCGAACAATATCTGGTACGGTTAGCATGGGATTTTACACATACCCTACTTTCAAGTGGAATTTATTGGGTCTGTTTGGTTTGGTAATTAGCACGATGAACATGAATATGTGATTTCTGGTTCTCGTTTCCTTTTTCAGACCATAGCTGCAGCCATTGTAATCGGGATAATCCTTCATGCCGGTAACCATTTGGCATGTGATTTCCCAAGGCTTATAAACGAAAAAGATATTGACTACGATCTTAAGATGAGTCATTACTTTGGCCACAACAAACCAAGCTACATAGACCTTGTCCGAGGCGTGGAGGGTGTTACTGGAGTTATAATGCTGATTTGCATGGCAATTGCCTTCACACTTGCAACCAAATGGTTCAGGAGGAGTCTAGTGAAGCTACCAAAACCTTTTGATAGGCTCACCGGCTTCAACGCCTTCTGGTATTCACACCACCTCTTAGTTATCGTCTACATTTTGCTGCTAGTCCATGGATGGTTCCTTTATTTGGTGAAGAAATGGTACAAAAAGACGGTATATATTTGCTAAATTCTTTCTTTTTTCTCAATTTAACAACTATTACAATGGATCTTATATCATAACTATGACATAATATGGTTACAGACTTGGATGTATCTTGCATTTCCAGTTCTGCTTTATGCAGGGGAAAGAACCCTCAGATTTTTCCGATCAGGCTCTTATACCGTACGGCTCCTAAAGGTTAGCAACACCAACCATGTGTCTCAATAGTTCAAAAAACGGCCAACTTAGGGGTTGTTTGGTTGGGTTTCCATTAAGTCCTATAAAGATAAAAGTTGTATGTGTGGAGTAATATTTCTGTGCAAATTGAAAAGATTTTTGTTTGGGAAAGAGTTTTCTTAGATGGAAGGTGCGTGTTTTTTAATTGGGAAGAACAGGTGTGAAAAAACTTGGCTTTATGCATAAAGCTTGTTCCTAAAAGGTTATTGAATAAGTCACTTTCTATACCATTAAGCCACTACCAAACAGCTAGCTGACCGAATAAGCTGTGAGTCCTATTAAGCTCATTAAGCCACTAACAAACAAGCCCTTTACTTACAAATAGAGTCTAGACCTTGGGGATCCTCAGATGTCTCCAATTCGACTCTACTCAAGGCCACCAGGGATTTTCCTTACTGTTATCTTTAGATCCCATAGGATTAGTCGAAGGGTGCACAAACCGGCCTAGACACCTACGGTTACAAAAATAATAGTTTCAAAAACTTAATATGGTCTTTGATCTTTTTTCATTATTGCAACAATATTTAGGTTGCGATCTATCCGGGTAATGTTCTCACATTGCAAATGTCCAAGCCTCCCCAGTTTCGGTACAAGAGTGGACAATACATGTTTGTCCAATGCCCGATTGTATCTCCATTCGAATGGTAACTATAAATTATAAAACTGTCATTTAACACATTCAATGATCAAATAAGTTACCAATTATTCTAAATAACAATCTTTTTCAGGCATCCTTTTTCAATCACGTCTGCTCCAGAAGATGATTACCTTGCCATTCACATAAGGCAGCTAGGTGACTGGACGCAAGAACTGAAAAGGGTATTCTCAGAGGTCTGTGAACCTCCATTGGCTGGTAAAAGTGGGTTGCTCAGAGCCGATGAAACCACCAAAACAACGTATATATTCATTACTAGCCTACTTCTTTTGGGTAACCGTGGGTGCTTGGGCCAGCTGTAACAACTCGTCCCACATGAATGGTGGGATACGTGAGTTCCTTATAAGCTTCAAGTTATGGTCTACCAATAACTTCCATCATGGTTTTAAGTAGAATCCGAAGTTATTGGGCAATCCTGTTGCTTTGGGCTTTGGGGTGTTATAAATGGTATCAGAGCCGACCCTTGTAGTCTGACAGATGTCAAGAGTTTAAGTGGAGGAGTTTGTAACAACTTGTCCCACATGGATAGAAAATGAGATTTATGTTCCACCATGGTTTTAAGTTGAATCTAAAGTTATTAGACCAGCCTGTTGCTTTAGCCTGTTACAAAAGCTTGCGTGCACCTCAACTAATAACAGTCAGGAAAATCCCTAGGAGGAGACTCGAACTGGCGACCTATGGGAAAGAGCCCCAAGGTCTATCATTTATTTGCCAGTTAAACTGGCCCAGGTTACCCAAAAAATAGCCTACTTTTTTTAATTTTATATAATACTTCCATTTCAGCTTGCCAAGATTGTTGATTGACGGGCCGTATGGAGCTCCAGCACAAGACTACCGTAAATATGATGTTCTCTTGCTTGTTGGACTCGGCATTGGAGCAACACCTTTTATTAGTATTCTTAAGGATTTGCTAAACAACATTGTTAAAATGGAAGAACTAGCAGTAAGTAACTTGTTATATTTGCCTCATTGCGTCACCTTGATGCTACTTATACGAGTCTCTGAACCTGATTTTGGTTTTCAGGATTCAACATCTGGTCACAGTAGGCGATCGGATCAGAGTTCTGGGAGCGCTGATTCTTCATCTCATGGTAGAGCTTCCCCCATAAAAAAGAAAACTTTGAGGACCACAAATGCTTACTTCTATTGGGTAACTAGAGAACAAGGTTCATTTGATTGGTTCAAAGGAGTCATGAATGAAGTCGCTGAACTTGATCAACGGGTATAAGCCTCAAAGGTTATCTTTATGATCTATTTTATAGTTAAATATTAAAAGACTGTATTTATAAAGATGGGTTATGTGCAGGGGGTGATAGAGATGCATAATTATCTAACCAGTGTCTACGAAGAAGGGGATGCTCGATCAGCCCTCATCACGATGGTTCAAGCTCTCAATCATGCTAAAAACGGCGTTGACATTGTGTCTGGCACAAGGGTAAGATGTTATTTTTTTAAGAATCTTAGGTCCTCTTCATTCTCACCATTTAAAATTGATGCATATTCATATCAAAACCAAACCAAACCATATGAGCCCAGTACATCTTGTAACATCTCAGACCAACCATACCAGATATTGTCCACTTTGTCCATAAACCTAGACTCACGGTTCTAAAACGCGTCTGATAGAGAAGGTATCAACCCTTATAAGGCAACCTTTGTTCCCCTCTCCAACCAATGTGGGTCTTACACATCTCAGGGCATGTTTGTTAGCAGCTTAATGAGACTCGCAATTTATTTGGTTAGCTATAAATTACTTGTTTGATAGTGGCTTAATGATATAGAAAGTGGCTTATTCAGTAAGCTTTCAGGATGGAGCTTTATGAAGAAAGCCCAAAAAAATCCAAAATTGCTCCTCCCAATTAAAAACACGCTCCTTCTATCTATGAAAAACTCATCCAAACAAAAACCTTCACAATCTATACAGATAGATTAATCCACACATACAGCTTTATCCATACAGGACTTGATGAAAGAAATAGTGTCTGGGAGGGATAAGTGTACACAAAACTAATGCATTAAAACTTGTGATTAACAGGTGAGAACCCATTTCGCGAGGCCAAATTGGAAGAAAGTTTTCTCCAAAACATGCACAAAACATGCGGGTGCTAGAATAGGTAAGTGCATGCATCCCTAATCCATATAGCCAATTATATAGGTTATGTTTTATCTTATTTAAAGTAATAATATATTGTGGGTAACAATATGCTGAGCAGGTGTGTTCTATTGTGGGGCCCCAGTACTTGCCAAGGAACTAAATAATCTATGTCATGAGTACAACCAAAAAGGTTCAACCAAATTTGAATTCCACAAAGAGCATTTTTAAGGTGTCCATAATCCATTCCAGTGTACAGTTTTAGCAAAGAAAGGAGAACAATTTTGTTTCATTATAAGCACATCCTTTTTGTTGGTGAGATGAGTTGAACCAAGAAAAGAGTATGGTCTTCTGTGGATACAATCAAAAGTTGACAAGTGGCATGATGCGAGTGGCGGGATCCACCGCACATCTAGAGGTTCACATATTGATGATGATTTAGAGGGGGTCAAAGACAAAGGGGTTGAAATAGGACAGCTACCAAGAATTCCTCTAAAGATTGATTGAAGGTGTTGTAGAGATCCACCTAGAATTATGTTTTTGTTTTTTAATTATACATATATATATATATATATATATATATATCTTGTACAGATGAATTTCTGTACCTTGATCATATAATTGTATTTAAAAGATCATTATATATCAGAAAACAGTATTTGGAATTTTGATCCTACCAAGCAGAAGTTGCAAAAGGAATTCAATAATTGGCAAATGAAAGTATATGTATCCAAGTTATTATTGGTGCTATAGAAGATCATATGTGGTCGGATTCGTACCTTGTTTTTGGGTACCGAAATGGTGATAGGGGTTGGACATGAATAAACCGGAGATTAGAAATGCAACTAACACAGGGTCTGTTAGAAATGGAGGGTTCCTTGATCGTAAAAGACCAGATAAACCAATTGGTTCCAAATACAATAATTTGACCCGATAAGCCTTGGGTATCACGAATTGGATATTGGAATAATCCAATGATCACTCTGATCTTTAAGGCAGTAAAACTGAGTTCTACACCCAGATTCAACGTTTTACATATTTATGTGAGTGTTACGGGTAGTTGGGCGTTTTACATATTTGTAACTGCTTGTGAATAAGGTTGAAAAATGGATTAGAGTCCGGCTCAGAAGCTTGAGTCATAAGCCATTATGATACAGACAAAGAGGCTTCTGATTCTATACTTAGGGGTCATTTACCCAAACACTTACCTGGTAAGTGCTTACCGGTAAGATTCAATACCATCACTTATCTTATTGGGTAAGATTTTAGTCCATCAAAACGGCATTGTATGCAACAATTTACCCGGTTAAGGAAAGTGCTAACCGGGTAAGACTCTCGGTCTTGCCATCACTCTTACCGGATAAGATTCTCGATCTTTTCCATGTTCATCCAGTAAGGTAACGTGACTTAACAAGCGTTTATCAGATACGCATTTGGTAAACGGCCCCTTTAGTCACCAAAACCACTAAGTTTCTAACCTTCTCAATTTCACTCGAAAAGTTCAAAAACTCAAATTTCCTAAATAAAACTCTACATAAAATCCGTAAAGATTTCGGACCACTGCCCCAAAACCCACGAGAGCGGCCCCCTAGGACCGTGCAAAGAGGAGCATCCCCTTTAACCCCCTGCCTTAAAGCGATCTAAGTTGATAGGGGAAACATTTGTAAGTGTACACTCTGCAACTCGTAACTCACATTATATTTGCCATGTCACGTAGTCGAGCCCCGGTAAATCACAATTACATCAAAATACTTCTGAAAGTTTATTACACTTGTAATATTTAATTTTAAAATTCTTCCAAATTAAATTAAAAAAAACTCATGAAATTCACCTAAACAGAAACTATTCTTCTAACAAGTCAGAAGTCTGAATAGCCAAATAGGTTAAAATAGTGAAAGCCTACAACATTAAAAAAAAAAACCTGCACAATTATTGGAACCCTTGATCAAATGTCAAATGAATGCTGTTCACTGGAATCGAAATTCAGTGAGAAATCGAGTCTAAAATGAAGAATATCGGACCTAAAATTTCAATAGATGGTTCATAATTAGTTAGGGCTCAATTAATCGACCTAATCCTCTGTGTATTGATGGACGTTGACGTTAGATTAGCAAGCATCACGAACAATGTAACAAAATAATATCAGCTTAATACCTGGATACTTGAAGCTTTTCTACACTCGATGATGGCTGAACACGTTTCATTTAGGTCTCGATTTCATGAATTTAACCATTTCGTAATAATCATATTGATGTAAGCAAAATGGTGCGAACAACGCTAGCAAACCTGTTAATAGAAGCTCCATGATTGAATTTTTGGGCCGAAGAAGACCAACTTCAAGGTCCAAATTATGATAGTGGGCCGTCCTTTTATTCGTCTGTGAATGAGCCAATAGGAATTAAGTAAGATGCAATAACTTGGACTATTCGGCTATGGCCCCAATAAAAATCACTTGTGGGCTGTGGCAACCGGTAAGGGTGTGCACAAGTTGGGTTAAACGGTTTACAATATTTTTACAACTTAATTTAATTATGGTGGTTTGGAGAAATTTCAGTCTGATTCAACTCATTCAAAAGTATAATATAAACCAACTCAATTTTTACGGGTTGGATTGGATTGTCGGGGTTAGTAGTTACATAAATTTGACGAATAAAATACTTCATGATACTTAAGTTTATAAAACTAAACTATTAAACATCTTATCTAAAAAGATAACAATAGGTTTATAGGGCGTCTTTTTGACGTTTCAACAAGTTTTTTAGAAGCTTTTTAAATTAAGTGTCGTGTTATTTATTTTATAGAAACATTTTGATAAGTGTCCCTTAAACTCATCTATTTGTATGACACTTGTGTTCATATGACGCATTTTCAAGTAGTGTCGTATAAAATAACTAATACGATATTTTATTCTAAAAGCATCATAAAATTTTGTTAAGACGTCCAAAAGTCTTCCATAAACATATTGTAACTCTTTAGATAAGACATTTTCTGGTTTCATCTTAGAAAATATCATATTAGAACGCTTAGATATTTCAGGCATCCTATAAAATCTAATGTTGTTTGCAGTGAAATGCTATAACTAAGAATTTTCTTACCACCAAATTATGACATCAAATGAGGGATTCTTTGGATTGATAGATTCGTCAAGTAAATATCTATCAACATCATTCATATTCTCTGGCAAATCCTTTTGTTGTTACTGCAAAAACGATTTTAGTAAGTTTCTCTTATTAATTAGATTCATTGTCATTATTCTTTGATTGTATACATTTAGCTAAAACCATTATAACATAATTGGATTCATAGTACACCACCAATAAATAAGCGTCCTAATAGACCATTTTATAAGACGTAATTTATAAGACCCAAAAATAAAATGTCTTATATAAAGGTGTTATAATAAATTTATATGATTTTTTTTTGTGTTTCAACAAATTTAAAAAAAAATGTTTTAATATCAATTTATGTTTTAATAAAATTTTCAAAATTTATCTTCAAATGGACAAAGTAAAAGAGGTATTAAGATTCTTTAAATTCAAAAAAAAGTTTATTAAAATGATAGTTTACAAAAAATAAATGAATTTTTTTATTTCTATTAATAATAATCTTTAAAATATTTAAAATAATAATATTTTAATAATATAATTAAATGTAATCTTATAGAAATTTTAATTTTTGATTCTTAATTTTAAAGAATATTAGATATTATTTTAAGGTAAGAAAATGTAACTCATTAAATTAATTTTTGTTAGGTTGTTCAGTCTGATGTTTATCAAGTTTATTCTATGCATGAAAGATTATTTAGTAAATATAATTATTATTAATTCATTGTAATACTTGAACTTTATAATTGAGTGTTTATAAATTTATTAATTTCAAATATGATTGTGATAATTGATTGAATATATAGGATTTTGAAAAATACGATCTTAGATGGTGATTATAAAATATTTGACAAATAAATGTTTTTGCAAGACGTGGAAATAACTTGACCCCAAGTCTAGCCAAACATATAACCGAAATGATCCCAACTCTGGTCCAACCCAACTAAAACAAAACAACTGCAAAACAAACCCAAGCAGGATTAACCTTGATAAAACTCACCCAAATGACAAAACTAATGCCCACTCGAACACTACTCAAAATCAACATAGCGAACAAAGGGACTCCTCGAACACATCCATGTGAGTCTCACAAAAAAACATAGAGTATGCAGCAAAATCAAAGAGATGAAATGCACCAATCGGTCCACGAACGGTTAAAATGTCTCAAGCGATTCGAGATTCAGAAGAACGCAAGAACATGCCCCTCAAAACCCATATCTAGGTTGGACACAACAGTAGCTTCAAATATGGAACTATGTGCTTCATATTAGTTGGTTAACTATATCCTTGATTGGTTATTCTAATTTTGTAGGAAATCATTATATTTTATGATAAGCGTAACCATGTCACGTGTTTATAAATATACCAGTGTAATTTTTGGATGTTCATGTTATATGTTAAATTTGATAACAAATAACATAACCATGCAACCAAATTCAATATTTTACATTTAAAAATTACGAATAAGATTATACTCGATACCTATTACACCCACAAGTTAAGCAAAGAATATTCAACTTCAGGGATCTAATGGGAATATTTTTTTATAAATATATTACATATAAAGAAAGAAGAAAAAGTAATTAAAAAAAAAGAGTTTCCATCCATGTGGTTTAGATCAGATTCCATATTTGTATCTGAAGTGAGACAATTACATAGATCATCCTTGTGGTATGTGATTGCTTCATTATCATCTCTCTTTTAAACTCTAATCTGTTTGTTAAGAGATATTTTGGATTTTTTTTATACCGTTTTCTTCATTCTCGATGTAAAATTTATATTATTACATACTGTATTCTACGTATATCTGTTGAGGAGTATGAATAAAAGAAGCAAAGGTGGAAATAGGAGAATAGCATCGTTGATGGAGCTCCATTGTTTGGATTATGGATGAACATGAACGATGATCCATCTGCTAAAATACTGTTTTCGTGTTGCTTCAAACCCAACCCATATACCCATTACTATTAGCCATTAGTTGGTACATGGTGACAATGATTTTGGATGCTGCTTGCACAGATTCATTGCCTAAAATGTTTAAAATGTGTATTTACAGGTTATATGTACAAATTTAACCTCTATGTATGTGGGTGTCAAGTTGACATGGTTGAAAGGGGATAGAATGGATAGACATGTGTTATTATCTAAGAGGCCGTTTACCAAATACTTACTCAGTAAGTGCTTACCGGTAAAATTTAACACTAATATTTACTTACCGGGTAAGATTTTAGTTCACCAAAACGACATCGCATGTAACAATTTACACGGTAAACGCTTGCCGTGGTAAGAGTCGTCACTCTCACTTACTGGGTAAGACTCTTGGTCCCTGTCTCATTCTTACCGGGTAAGATTCTTGGTCCGTACCATATTCATCCGGTGAGATAATTTAACTTGGTAAACACTTACTCAGATAAACGTTTGGTAAACGGCCCTTAAGTCGTATTTTAAATTTGGTTTTTTAATTAATATATAAAAGGACGAAATTACCACTTAAATGCTTGCATACATAGGTACGGCCCATGTAATTATTTAATTTTAGAGACGAAATTCGTATTTTTACATAAACCACAGGGATGAAAAATGTAAATCACTCTAAAAAGATAAGAGTGTGCGAAGCACGTGATATAAAGCCCAAAAAGTTGGAGGGGACAAACTTGCCTCCATTCCACATCATTCTCATTCATTACAATTTATTTGGTTTAATATTTATAAAAATATTTTCAACCGATTTTTTAAAATGAATATTTTTATTTTAACTAAAAGCATACTTGCGCAATTCAATAAGATACATCGTGATTTTAATATTTAATTTTATTATTTATCTCAGTCGATGTTATAATATGGTTTTATGTGATTTTGATAAAGCGATTATGTTTTTATTTTTGAATAAAATATATGTTTGAAGATATCATAAAAATTTGACAAAAATATATCGATATTAGTATCGAATTAACTATTTGAAATTTCTCATTTTTTTGTGTAAATTTTTAATTCAATTTTTTTATAATTTAATTTATGTACAATAACGAAGTAATTTACATTTGGTTTAATAATATAATATTTTATAAAGATAATAATTATTTATTTTGTTGGAACTCGATAATTATTCTAATTATATTTTATATTTTTTATATTTTAGAATGCGATGTTCATCTTCTATTTGATTATGTTTATCTACAGTTATTTATACGAATTCAAACATCGAGCTTTAATAAGTTGTACTTATGCATAATTACTTGTAATCTTGAATTTTAAGTAATATGAATCAATATACAGTACTTTATGATAACAAAAATATATCGATATTCGTATCAAATTAATTATTTAAAATTCTTCATTTTTTGTGTAATTTTTTAATTTAATTTTTTATTATAATTTAATTTAGGTACAATAACGAAGTAATTTATATTTGGTTTAATAATATA